GACTGAGCTTGCCTGTAAGTCCTTGCCCTTTCAGTGGGGAGTAGAGGCGTGGTCTCAGGAGGTGAGGTACCCCAAGGCCCTGCTTTGGCCGATCTGTATCATACACAGAAAGCAGGTGGGATAGTTTGGGCAGCCAGGCCTTCTGTCTGGGTTAAGTGTGGGAGTCATTTGTGACACAGCAACAGTAACCCATACACACACATTAGCTCACTTCATTCTTCCAATGGCCCAGGAGGTAGGCTCTGTAATCACCTCCCTTTCTACAGAAGAGGAAAGAGATGCTCCATGGAGCAGGGGAGCCCTGCAGCGCCTCAGTGCAATAGCCTGGCCCCAGCTCCAGAGCCCGTTTCCATCCATGGACCCTGCTCCTACGCATGTTGATTCGTCTCTGTATCTCCACTGCCTGGCATACAATAAGCACTTAATAAATGTGTCAGTTAAGTAAACAAATAAACAGATCAAAACCTCCATAATTAAATGAATCTCTGGGCCTCAGTTTCCTCTTCTGTGAAAGGGAGAGTCTGGGCCAGATGAGGCCTCCATGAGCCCTGCTGTCTCCAGAACCGTATGCTTTCTAGGGGCCACTCTCCTCACAGCGGCACCTGTCACAGTGCCACTCCAGCGGGCTTTCAGAGATCTTCAGAATATGACCCTAATCTAGTCCTCTAGACTTCCAGACCCCTGTCCATGGCCTCCCTGCTGCAACCCAGAAAACCTTTCTTCCCAACAGATTCCAATCCCATGCCCTCTAGAGGGTCTAATCTATTCCTCCACCTCCGTGCTCTCCATCCCAGTTCAGAAGTTGCCTGGATACATCTGACAAATGGAAGCCAAGTTCAAAGATGGGAATGTGCTATGAGAAACCAAGGCCTAGAGTGTTCCTAAAAGCAATGGTGCTCCCAAAGCTTGTTTAACAAGTGGTTGTGCTTTTATGTATATTTTCCAGATTTCTGCTGTTTGCATATTATCCTGACAGTGGTCCTGAAATCTTGATATCAGCTCTATTCTCTTGGTTATATTTTCTCTTTAATCAGTGTTAAATCTCTCCCACTTTCTCTTCTTCTTGTCTTCCTTAGAATGTAGTCTCATTCTAAGCAATAATATCTGTGAAATCACAGGCCTGATGTGTGTGCACCATCTGAAACCATCCCCATCATCACCAGTCTAGAGGTACCGCAATGTGGAGAAATATTGGCTGTTAGGATAAGATGTTTTGCAGCCACAGATTAACTTTTCTAAATAACCTTGGCACACCTTTCCAGTGGTCTGCTAGAGACAGGGTGTTTACATGATTTTATTTTCTCCTTTGTGCATTTCCACGGCTCTCATGTTTCTAGAATAAGCAGTGATTGCTCCTGTAACTGGAAACCATAAATGCATGTTGGAAAATAATGAAGACATTATCTGCATTTTCCAAACACGGGGAGTTGGGCTAAGAGCGTGAGTGTCTGGATGGTCACCAAGCAAATCCAAGGTTATTTATGTGGACTGACTTTGAGGTAACACTTAGCTCTCCCTTGCCTCACTTTGCTCCCTTCTTCCAATTGCTGGAATTAGAGGGAATTTCATCCCTCTGCTTTTCTCCCAGAGCCAGCTGTCACTGGTGTGTGGGAGACAGGAAACAGGATTACAAGATTAACAGTGAGCCCGCCATTCCTGCCAGGCTGGCCGTTATCACGGCTGACTCCGGAGAGCCGCACTCCCCACTTGTCACTACCTGCTGCGATCTGGAGGTTGGGGCTACAGCCCAGACTAAATTCTAAAGCGGAGAAAATGGGGAGTCATGGGGGAGTTTTCCCCAAAGTGAGGTAAATTTTGCTGAATGTAGACTAGGAGTCACCTCTCTAAGTGTTCTCTCATCAAATCTTAGAGAAATCCTGGAAAGCTGAAGCTACAGTGATCCGTGCCCCTTTGGCAGATGAGGACCCTGATGCTCCATGAGGTTAGATCACCTTCCTAAGCTCACAGACCAACCAAGGCAGAGCAAGAACCGAGCCCAGGATTGTGGGACTCCGAAGTCTTCTGTTGGAGCCACTCTGTGCCACTCCCTTTCCTTCCCCCAAGGACATGTCCAGAGACCCAGGACAGTACATTCCCCCAGCCTGGTTAGTTCAGCCCTCTGGTTCCCCAAGGCTGCTGCCAACATGGCCACAGAGACACACACACTCTCAGGCTGACAGTGTTGATACCACACGTCAATTACTGAGTGCCTGCTGACGGCCAGCCTCCCCTTCCTCCCTTCAGGCTGCAGAGCTCCTACCCGGGAAGGACACCTGGGCAAGTTGGCAAAAAGGCTGTAATGGGGTGGGGGTAGGGGTGGGGGGCAGTTAGGACAGTCAATTCAGACCAAAGAAGAGTCATCTGCCTAAATATCTAAACAGCTGTGTTGTCTAGACCTTAAGGAGAGTCTCCCTGAGTCCCTGACTTTTGAGGACTCAAATACCTGTACATCCCCACCTGTCTCTCATGGTTGTCACCTGTCCGATCAGCTTCCTAAGTGCATGGCCATGTCCTGACACAGAAGAGCCATGAAAAGTCCTGGGAGGAGATATGCCTTGGCCACGCAGTCTGCAGCCTGAGAACGCTTCTTAGAAGGACAAGCTACAAGGACACCCGGTGGTGGTTAGAAGGTGGTCAGGTGAGGGGAAGGGAGAGAGTTAAGGGCAGACCAAAGGTGCATTCAAAGGGCCAGAAACGGGGAAACACAGCTTAGGAGCATCTCCTTTAGCATGACTGAAACCTATTAGGGGACACTGGTGAGGGGCAAAGCTGGAGGAGTGGCCAGGTCAGACAGAACGGGCCTGGTCAATCAGATGAAGGAGTCTAGACCTTGTCCTGAAGACAACAGGGGGCTTGAATGTGTTCTCTGTGGCGTGACCTTGTCTGATTTGTGTTTTACAAAGATCTTTTTGGCAGGAGAAAAGTCCCAGAGGAGAACAGGACTAAATTCAGGTCTAAGTTGGTTAGGAAGCTGTGGTTACTGAGGTTGGTAGTGGCTGAACCTAGCAGCCTGGCAGGAGAAGGGGGAAGATTTTGAGATATATTAAGATAGAATCAGGCTTGGCAGAGTGGCTCACACCTGTCTTCCCAGCACTTGGGAGGCTGAGACAGGACAACACAGCAAGACTCCATCTCTGCAAAACTAGCCAGGTGTGGTACAGGTGCCTGTAGTACTAGCTACTTGGGAGTATGAGGCAGGATCACTTGAGCATTAGAGTTTGAGGACGGAGTGAGCTATGATTGCACCACTGCCCTTCAGCCTGGGTGACAGAGCAAAACTCCATCTCATCAGAGAAAAAAAGGGTTGACTCAGTGGGACGTGGTAACTGGTAAGTCTGAGAGGCTAATTTGAGACACCCTAAACCTATTATTCTCCTCCTGCTCTTGACCTCGTGGGAAGGAGGGAAAAGGTGAGCGGTCCACAGCCTGGACCTGGACCTGTAAGACTGGGACATGACTTTGTTTGGCAATAACTAAGCTGCCTCCATGGCAAATAATCATCGGAACGGGATAGGAACAAAAACTTGGCCCTCTGAGCCTAGCTAGGGATCCATAAATAATTGGACTCCTCTCAGCGAAAATGTGGCATTTGCTGTCAACTTTTCCATTGATCACATGATTAAATCAAACTCTAATTTTTGAAATGTAGATGCTTAAAACAAACAAAACATTTTAAATAATAATCTAAGAACTTGCCTATTTTGGCCACAAAAAAACACCTTATGAATCCACCCCATGAGGGAGACCACTTATGAACACAGAAATGCATAGGGGTGTGGTGTATGTGTGCACACTCCAAAATAATATCATTTTTTAAAAACCTTTTTTTAGAGAAGGGATCTTGCTATGTTGCCCAGGCTGGAGTACAGTGAATATTCACAAGCATGATTACAACACACTTCAGCCTCACATCCTGGGTTCAGAGAAATCCTTCTGCCTCAGCCTCCCAAGTAGCAGGGACTATAGGCAAGTACCACTGTGCCTGACTTTACTCTTTAAAAGCATGCAAAATTAGATCCTGTAAGCCTGCTACTTAAAAGCAATTTTTCCATGGCACGTATTTCTAAATCCAGTGTTAAAACCACAAAGCTAAGGCCTTTCTCCTTTTCTTTTTCTTAGTCTCTTGTAACTTTTTGTGAATGAGTAGGTCTGTCCATCTGCCTGACTCTCCCTTTTCAGATCTTCCGGAAGGGAACAAGGAAAAACATCCGAAATGACCTCATTTTATTTTGAAACACTAAACTCACCAAAAGGGGGGAAAAAAAGAAACAAAAAAGAAAGAGAGAAAAAAGCCCTTCTTGGTCGAAGGAATCAAGATGTAAGTCTCATTCTCTTGCCATATGGTAAGTTATTCTGGAAGCACATCAAGAGGTGGAGAGAATGTTTGACAAAATTGGCAATGCTTGTACAATACTTTCAAATCGGACCAAATTCCCACTAAGTATATTTGCTACAAGCCCTTCTATTCATCATATCAGCGACTATGACCACAGGATATGTAAAAATACTGAGCAGTTTTTAGCACCAGCTTCCAATCCTCCAGTGCCCTGGACACCACATGGTGTCAAGTTTGTCTGTATTTTACCCCCAGGAAATCAAGCCATTAACTTTTCTTTCATTTACCAAGAGCTGTTGCCAAAAATGAAAGCATTCACCAGCTGTGACTTAAGGGAAGAAAAGAGAAAAGGTTTCACTACAGGGAAAGAGACAGCAAAAATAGAACAAAGAATGTCGTAGGTTTGTTCCCTAGGCAGCTGGAGAACACCAAATTTAGGGACCTTCATGCAAGAAGGGTCACTCTCTAGGTGGCCTGATGGCATAGACCACATGGAAAGATTATCAGAAAGCCGGGAAGAGGGAGCTTATTCTCCCCCCATTTCTCTGTGCCTGGAACTCTACGGGCAGGAAGGCTGGTGGAGGAAAGTGTCAGCTTGCTCCGGCTCACCTGGGTTATTTGGGGGCTGTGTGCCGGTGAGGGAGTCGGGAGTTCACCGTCCTACCTTTGCATTCTCGACATTCTGTGCAGCTCCATGTCATCGCTGCCCCGGAATCCTTTGGCGAAGGGATTATTCTCGATCTTTAATTGCGTGATCTGAAGCAAAGAGGGGGAGAGGGAGCTGGTTTTCACTTGATTGCCACAAGACCACCTCGACATAAGCTAATAATAAATGTCATGGAAATGCAACCTCTGGCAACCAAAAGAAGCAAATTAAGCTAGGCACGCCAATGGGACCCGCCACTTCATCCAAATGGAGGCTTTGAAAAATGTCCTTCATCAGACTGCTTTTAAAAGGGGGAAAAAACCTGGATTTGGTTTGCCCATTAATTGGAGTCATACTCCGCGTCATTCCGGCTGGGTTTCTAACTAACCTTCTTTCTTTCTCTCCCCCTTCCTTCCTTCCTTCTTTCCTTCCTTCCTTCTTTCCATTCTTTTTCTTTCTTCCTTCTTTCTCTTCCTTCCCTTCCCTCCCTTCCTCCCTTCCTGTCTCCCTCTCATCCTTTTTCTTTCTTTCTCTTTCCCTCCCTCTTTCTCTTATCCTCCCCCTTTCTCTTTTCTTCCTGCCTTCCTTCCTTTTTTTAATCTTGGCATTTTGTGTTTCAAACACAATAGGCCTCAACACTTGGACCCCGTCCCCTTGGAAAGTTCTGCCCGCTGGCGCTGTTGCACATCCGGGGGTGTGGTAATCTCCATTTGGAAGGGGGAGCCCCATCATGTGTTTCTGGAGAAAACATGCCGTGATTATTGTTTTCAAAAATCCTACAATGCCTCAATTCATGTTTGTTTCATAGTTTCACAGATAGAGTTTGCTAGCTCAGGTGGGAAATGGTGCCTAATAAAATAAACACCAACACACGTAATAATAGCATAGATGGTAATTATTGCACAACCCTAGAACCCGTTAACATCCTGGGCAGGGAGGAGAGAGTTCTGTCTTAGGAATCTGTGTGGCAGTGCACAAAGCCTAGTAATAGAACGGGGTCCTTTTGAACATTTTGGTTCCAGGCCCAGAACTTTAATTTAAACCATCAACACATTATATTAGCGTGAATGTACAGTAGCAGACCCAGGTGACAGAATGCATCCATGTGGAGTTAGCTAAAAACTGCATGTGAACTAAATTTTCATATATGGAATCACGTTATAGACATCAGGCCTACGTGACTCAAACTTCAATCATTCAAGGTTTTTTTTTTTTTTTTTTTTTTTTTTTTGAGACAGAGCCTCAAGCTGTCCTCCTGGGTGGAGTGCAGTGGCATCACAGCTCACAGCAACCTCCAACTCCTGGACTCAAGCGAGTCTCTTGCCTCTGCCTCCCAAGTAGCTGGGACCACAGGCGCCCGCCACAACGCCCAGCTATTTTTTGGTTGCAGCCGTCATTGTGGTTTGGCGGGTCCGGGCTGGGGATTCGAACCCGCCACCTTAGGTGTACGTGGCTGGCACCTTAGCCGGTTGAGCTATAGGCTCCGAGCCCATTCAAGGTTTTTCTTCACAATCATTGCTATAACCATTACCAAGTACCTGTACACTTGGCTTGTCTAGTATTTTTATTTCAATCAAATCGCTTTTTAAATTTATTTCACATTATATCACTTCTCTGTATGGCAAACTAGAATCACTGGCTCTTCAATGAAAAGAAAGCAATATATCAAATTGTCTCTACTGGTGCCCAAAACTTGTCTTCTATTTATTACAAGAGGAGAACAGACACGTTTAGAGAAGTATTTAATGCAAACTACTGCTGAATTAAGACTCGCTCTCTCTCTGATATGAGGCTAATGAGATCATTGAAAAGAGAACGACTTTCTCTGTGATTTCATCAGAGTCGAGTATCCCTAAAAATCATCTCACCTAATCCAGTAGTTTATAGACTTCTGACAAACTGTCCTGGAGTGACAAATGAACACACTCTCTAATTTCTTCATGTGAAGGGAGGCATTCTTGTCTGTTCTGGTTTTTGGAAAAGATGACTGATAGGGTTGGCCCCTAACTCTAAGACTGTGTGTGTAACGTATTACTATCCACATGTATGTGTGTGTGTGTATGTTCACAATAAAAATATAAATCTAATTGACATTTTAAAAATATATGACATTCTGGAAAAGGCAAAACTGAGTAATGTAAAAAAAGATCGGTTGTTGCCAAAGATTGCGGGGAGGAAGGGGTGATGAGACAAGGACTTTTAGGGCAATGAAAATACTCCATATCAGAAGGTAATGGTGTGGGTGGTGCCTGTGGCTCAAGGAGTAGGGCACCAGCCCCGTATACTAAGGGTGGTGGGTTCAAGTCCAGCCCTGGTCAAAACTGCACACACACAAAAAAAAATGCAGAATGTAATGGTGGAGACACATCATTGCATGTTTGTTCAAACCCATAGAATGTACAACACCGTGAGTGAACCCTAATGGAAACTACAGACATTTGGGTGACAATATGACTGTGGGCTCATAATTGTCACAAATGTCCCACTTGGATGGGGGATATTGATGGGGGGGAGGCTGGGTATGTGTGGGAACAGGGGGTGTATGGAAACTTCGTGGTCTTCCCACTGAACTTTGCTCTGAACCCAAAATTGCTCTAAAAACAAAAGCCTATTTCTAAAAACTTTTAGAACCATGGGTGTGTATACTGCGTATGTGTCTGTCTGTGTGTGTGTACACACATTACTCCCTCCCTCCCTCCTTTTTTTAACTTTTCCCATTCCCACAGCTTTCAGATTTTGTCTTGACGCTTCAGAATGAGTAGAAAAGTCTATTAAATCCTTTTGAGCAGCAATCTCTAAGATGTGCACTCCTGAATCCACTCTTATTTTAAGAGACTACAACCCTATCACCTAATGGGACTTTCTTTCTCACTCAGGTTTTGTCACAATAAAACGCCACCTAACTGACCACAAATCTTTAAAAAAGAGAGGAACAAAAAGTTAAGTAACAAATAGATCATTTTTAAAAGGGCAGACCAGCCTGAGCACCATAGTGAAACCCCATCTCTATAAAAATAGAAAAATTAGCTGGGCAAGGCAGCTCACACCTGTAATCCCAGCAATTTGGGAGGCTGAGGAAGGAGGATCCCTTGAGCCCAGGAGTTCCAGGTTATAATAAGCTGTGATTGCACTACTGCACTCCAGGCTGGGTGACAGAGTGAGACTGTGTCTCTAAATAAATAAGTACAAACAAGAAGGAATGGGGAAAATCCTTACTCACCACCACCCACCCAGTCAGGGAAGCAAATGGTGAAGACAGTGGGGACGTGGGATCAGGGTGGAACTAGCACCCAGTCCACAATATCGCCGCACCACCAAGAAGTCAGGATAAGAAATTGTCCCCACGAAGAAAGAAAAGGGTGACTTTTATTTTATCAGCAAAATCCTTTTGCTCAAACCCATTCCTTGCACTTCAAGTTCTTATGCTTATCCCCTTAGCTTGCAAAAACAAGAATGCATACAATAAGCACTTCACTACATGTATGCTTAGGCATGTCAACCTTACATACGACTTCTTTTGGAGCCTAAGTATACAGGCCTACTGTATACCATCAAGAAATAGTAACATACATGCTTATCCGCAGGTAAGAATATCTGCCTTATTTTGTACATAGCCACTCACAAACTATAACCTTATTTATGAAATTCCTTTCCTGATACACTGCCTGGTAGCTTGTAAGTACACAAACTGATGCACCTGGATGCCTGAGTTCTACGGAAAGGCCCCACTGCAACCGACTTCTATACACCATACAAATGTGCTCCCTTCAAAATCAACATAAAACCGGATATCCGGGGGCGAGCTGGAGGTGGGGGAAACCGAATATAAATGCCAGCTCCAACCAGTAAGACAGAGGTTGTAAAAATTAATGAGAATAATTGTCGTGAATTCTTGCTTTTGAAAAAAATAAAAAAATAAAAAAAACCCTCACGAGGGCCAAAAATCTTAATTATGTCTCTCTATTAAGGGTTCATTTCCTGGTCCCAACCAGAGAGCTCATACCTCATAAATACAGACTCCTTACACAATGATTTAAGCAGGAGGAAAATGCCTTTTAATGGCAAAGTAAGTTAATATCGGGGGATAGTCGTGCTTGCATACACAGCCATTGTTGCAAGAACAGGGAAATGAAATGCCCACGTGACCTTTTTTTAACACCTAAATATATCTAAGGATTGCCCCTGGAGCTGCTGACAACTGCAGTGAAAACTTTACAAAAACGTGTTTCACAGAACGAACGTCGCTGGGGAAGATTTGAGTTTTTAAATATCTTTTTCAAGCTGTCAACCATCTGGGGAAATAACTCCCAAATCCAGCTTGAGATCACAGCTGGGCTAAGGAAATATGTCTAGTCATTAGGAGCCCTGTGGTATATAGGTATGTGACTGCAGCCTGAGCAATGAACCCTGCCACATACCTGCCTCCGAGTGGAGAAAGATCATTCTGAAGGCTCGGAGCCCTTTGACCAAAGAAATGATGGCTCTTATTTTCCCAAATTGTCCTCGCCATTTAATCACATGGATTGCTTTTCTTGCCCTGTTCATTTATCCAAAGCAAAATGCTAGACAAATAGTCCTTGAATTGACGACATGATCAGGGAATGAGCCAACTAAACCACAAAGACTAACATTTGCAGTTGTTTCTCGACCACAGTAATAACAACTTATTTAAAAAATCTCAAGCTTTCAGATTCTAAAATAGCCAGGGAAAGAGTTACATTCAGTAGGAAAGAGCTTTCTGGAGTCTGCATTTTGGAATGAGATATCCTATTAATAATAAACAGATCGGTTAAGTAGTCAATCAACAACCCAATCAATCATTCCTAACACACTGCACTAACTCTGTACAGACCCTATCTTATGCACGTCCTATGGATTATCTCATTAAATCCTCACAATGACCCTTTGAGGTTAGTTCTCTTATTATCCCCATTTTACAGATGGGGAAATGAAGTGAAGTCATTTGCCCCAAGTCAAACGGATTTGAACTTGAGCAGTCTGGCTCCAGAGTCCACACTTTAACCCTACTCGATGGTAAGAGCTCAGCTGGCTTCTACCCATGAAGTCAGAAGTCTCAACACTCAGCCCAGGTGGGACAATAAAGTATCAAGACTGAGTCCACAAATCACACGCAACCCTGGCCTGCTTATTTAAATCACACATCATATATCCATGCAGGAAAGGTTTGCCTGGGCCCTGAACTTGACTGGAAAATCATACTGCTTTGGGCTTGCTCCTGACAAAGAAAATAGGTGCCTTCGGTGTGCTGCAAGTGAGAAGCAGGAGAGGGGAACAGAAAGTTGTCTCCTGTGAAATCCCCCTTCTGGATGTCAGGGAATCAGTCAGGCTGGCTGAACAGACCTTTATTACAGCTTATCTGAGCTTCCTGACCAACCAATAAAGAAAAAAAAAAGCAGAGATTTCTGGATGTGAACCCTTTGTGTGATCATCAGATAAATACACATGTATCCAAATGTGTATTTAGAGACACAGATTTTTAGATCCATGTACATTCCAATGCACAATTCCCTAAATTGTGCTAAAGAAAATCACATAGGCACACCCTGTCGGGCTGGCACAAATTTTATGCACATAGGTCACAAAATGGATGTAAGTAAATTTGTTTTAAAAATAGGGATTTGGGGGATATTGGGTATAACCAGACGTTATGGCGACAGTTTTGTGGGTGTGTATGTATGTCAAACTTATCAAACTGTATACTTCAAACATTGCAGTTTACTAGGTGACAATTATGTCTCAATAAGGCTCAAAACAAAGAGAGAGAAGGAAAGAAAGGAAGGAAGAAAAGAAGAGGAAAAGAAAGAAAAGATTCTCTAGATCTTGCCACCCCAATGGGTCCTACAGTCATTACTACAGAGAACTTAGGAATTTCCCCCAGAGATCCCGAGCACCCCCATGGCTTTTTGACAGATCATTTTTATATGTCCACACCTGCCTGTCTTTCTTGCACAACCTGGGCTTTCTTGGGGGAAAGGAAAACAGAAAAGGTCTGACATATTTTTGGACCCTCTGTCAGGTCTGGAAGCACGTATACATGGGGAATTGAGCCTTCTGATTGCTATTTTTTGACCACCACTACAAAGTTAAATACAGATTTAGAGCAGCCATCAAGAAAACTGGTTTCAAGGAGTCAGACTCAAATTGGCCTGAAACAGTTTTGCACCTTTCAGGGCATTTGACCTGCATTGTTTTAGCTCTTGCTGGTTTAACTGTGGGGGGAACTGAGAAAATTCCTCTTTCCCCTTAAAAACATAATTGTGTTTTGAGGGAAGAATGCTCTCTTAAGACTTGGGTTCTAAGACAGGCCTTGTGACCTGGAAAGGACCCTATCCATCATAGCTTGGCCTTAACATAGACAACCTGGATTTGGAGACAGCCCAAGGCATTTTGTAACAGCCCCGGCCTCAGTGCGGGTGTTATCTGCCAGCCCAGCCCACACTGGAATGACCTTCATGGGGTCTGGGTCCAATGTCTGCCTCTCATCCTTCTCTGGCCTCTCCTTTCAGGCTCCACAGCCCCTGCAACCATCTCTCCACACTTGCCGTGCTAGGGAGAACAGGAACTATGAATGGGGAGGGGTGCCACCATCCCTACATCCATCTAGGTTAAGTTGCAGATCTCACATGGACCTCCCCATTTTGCCCTCCTAACCCCAAATCACAGCTGCCTACTCCCAACAGTTGACAACCCCACAAAGCCAGGGGCTCTGCTCCCAATACCTACTGCTTGCCTCTCCAGATCATAACAAGTCTTAGGAACCATTCAATCCCGCCTAAAACTCACAATAAAATGAATCCACATATACTCAGGTATCTAAGGAACAGAGGTGACTCATGACAAACCAAGACAAGCTCTTTCTCTAGGGGAGAAACAGAAGATACTCCCACCCAATCTGTGGTTATCGGTGGCCAGCTCCAATGTCATTGTCAAACCTGGAAATGCCAAAATCAGAGCCCAGATTTTGAACAACATGGGTCTGACATATACACAATCTATCTGGCAACAGTCCCACCTCTACACCAAGCTGCAGCCACCTTCTCCCAAACAGTTTATGTGTTCTGAGCGCTTCACAACTCCCCTCCCCAGAGTCGTCTAAGTCCTGGGACTGCCAATGGCATGGGTAGGCTACTCTATTTTTGTTTTAACAAGGCAAACTTTGCTTGTGAATGTGGTCTGGGGTCAGCAGTTACTGAAACAATTAGGAAGGCATCCAGAAAGTCCAAGCCCAGCAGCTTTGCCACGTGCCTAGCTGCCAGTAGAAATATATCTAAAAGGTAGAGTGAAGGAAAGAAACTGACCCAAACAGAAAAGGTGGCCCCAAATAGAGTCCCTACCAGAGCAGAGAGCTATGCAATAAGGTGACCTATCTTCCTATTAAGCAATGGGCACTGCCTTCTTATGTTGAGAGTGTGGCCATCTATGGTTTGACAGGCATGCTTCTAACTGGGTTGTGCGCGTATGTTCACCAAGCCAGTGAATTAGCACAAACAGCAATAATCATAATCCTTAGGCTGAAGTTTTGTCCCCTGGGATGGAAGTTTGTGCCCACTTTGCTAGAATCCTTAAAGCATGACGTTCTAGCAGGAAACCCCTGCAGATTCGTACAAAAGAGCACGCAGCCCCAGGCGCTGGTTCCTGGGTGTGGCACTTACCTTGTGGTTCTGGTAGGAAGTGACCGCAATAAACGCAGTCTCAGGAAAGACGTGAGTGCAGAACGCTGTATTTTTTGAGCCAAATCCATTATTTTCATCCGCTTTCACGATGTGTAATCTGGGCTGGTATTTGTGCATGGAATTTAGAATAATCTAAAAACAATAAAGAAAATGAGATTGGAGAAAAATCAAAACTCTCTTTGTTTCCAGATAAAATCCTGCTCCCCACCCCCCTCAAATTAGCCTCATTACAGAGGCTCTCGAAAAATAGATTTTCCCCTCCTGTTTTGAAAAGGAGCCAGTGATTTCATTAAAAAGAAACATTTCAAAAATGACAATTTCCAACCAAAAAAGCCAAGGTAATATTCCAGGAATCTACCCAAGGCACACAGGGCAGTAAATCAGAATTCTTAATAAAGTTTGCTTAATAAATTAACTCCCTGCGTTAGGCCACTTCCCACCCCCAACAAGAGCTGAACAAGTCTGGAGCAAGGAATCAGAGTTAGGGGAAGCCTGGGCGGTAATTTTGGAATGGGGAAAGGAGGGAGAAACAAACAAATAAATACACGTACAAATAACCCTTCACCCCCCCCAAAAAAAACAACCCCTAATGGGTGAGAGGGGAGAGACTAAATATTTGCAAAACTGGAAGAAAATCACCAGTTCACTCATGGCCTTTCCCTGAGACTCTGGGTGGGTGAATAGACTTCAAATCTTGGCTCTTTGTTTGGAGAACAAGCAAAGTGGAGTTAATAAAAAAAAAAAGTATATGAGGGGGTGTCTGGCCTCAAAGGGTGGGGAGATGTGGGGAGGAAGCACCTGCCCCCCACATCCACCCATCAAAGAAGGGGTGGGTTTCCCAGGAGGCTCCCTTTCCCCAACTTTACCAACATTTCAGGGGTTACAGGCAGAATTATCTCCACGTTTGGCCCCAGACAGAACTGCTCCATCTGCTTTTGGGGGGGAATAATCTCTTTCTCCTTCCTTCCTATCTTTTCTCTTGTTAGGGGAGTGCCGGGGACAAGCCAGGTCTTAACTGCTGCGGCCCTGCTGTTGTTATTACAACCACCGGTATCATTTTTAGGAGGACCTCGGGGCTGCACGTTCTTGCTGGAGCCAGGACTATTCACAGGAAAAGTGGGTTTGTCGCTCTGGTGACGCCTGGTTGGGAGACTCCCGGGAGGCGGTTAACTCTGATATTTACCAAAATGCTCTGATAGTACCCACCGAATAGGGGGTCCGCTGCGTTTAAGGGCCTGAAAATCTGAGCTTTTCCCCCAGGACCGCAACCTGGAGCGGCCAGAGGTTGTCTCAGTGTCTTTGATTATTTGCATCGATGACCCTGGGGCAGGATTCTGGGACCAACTCTTGAGACCCGAGCTGGGGGAGGGGAGCAGCTGCCAGCCGGGGGAGGGGAGAGAAGCTCGCAGCCTAGGGGCTGCCCGACCCCGGGCGGCCCGTACGGCTCTAATCTCCGGCCGCCGTGGCCCGGCCGCCGATAGCGACGCCGACCGGGGCGGCGTGGCGACAGAGAGACGCAGTGGGGCCCCGCCGGCAGCTACAGCCCCCCGGCCGACGCGGCCATCCTCCCGGCTTAGCCAAATTGCTTTGACGGCTGGGGACAGTGTGGAGACATCAGCGCGAGGACGATCTAATGGGTCCTAATTTCATTAGGGCGGCTCTGGATTAAAAATCTGGAGTTTGGGGTGGAAATTCGCCATCAGCTGGGGCAGTTCCATGCAGCTTCAAACACCTGAAATTTGCAGGGTGCTCCGTGAATTTGGTGACAGGGTTAGGAGGAGCTGAAAAGAGGCTAGGCACAGTCCCACTCTCCAGACCCGAGGTTCCATCCAGGCCCTTGCAAGGGTTCCGCCCTCCGGAAGGAAGCCCCTGCGAGATGCATGTGGGACCTTTACAAAATGATCCTATTTTTCCCTGGTGCTTCACGCTAAAGTATATGTTGAGTACCAGCACATGCACTCCAAACCTGGGTGGCCAATGCCCACAACAGCCCCATGCATCAGCTGGGAAGCATAAGCACAAAGGATGCTGAGTGCTGAACAGGTCTATGCAGCAAGAATGTTTTCTGCCCCTCTTGGGAGCACAGGAAGGGAATGGGACTTTCTTATCTTTGCCATCCACATGCTGAGAGCCACATTAAGCCATCAGTGGAGAGCCCAGAGGTCCTCTTCCCACCCCAGATCCCAGTGGGTTCAGTGCTTTAGCCCTAAGACCCCAAGGGAGCAAAGTTCTCTTGAGGACCTTCACAAATGGTCCTTCCTCTTCGCCAAATCCATTCCCATGCAGTCCCTTCCATAGCTGTTGCAGATATGCACCCCTTGCTCAAGACATGGCAAAGAACACAACATCACATAGCCTAACTGGGGGACATGTGTCTGCTGCTCTTCTGCGGAGGATTCTGGTGGGACAGGGAACAACTTCTGGAATTAGAGAGAAATAGTCTCAAATCTCTGTTGCTCAGCACAACCTGTATGACATTGGCCAACTCACTTCACCTCCTCTGGACTCTCCTTTGCAAAGACTGTACCTTTCTGTCCTCCTCTCTAGGCGGCCATGAAGATCAAATGCCCTAAGATGAATGAGCCCACTTGCATGGAGGAATCCCCAAGCTGAAGGTTCTAAGGGCCGGATTCAGAGACTATATCCAGGTCTGGTGATTAATTATTTCCAACAAAATGATTTAGGGACATTTTTCCCCAAATCCGAAAAACGAAGTTTTGTTCTCTGTTTTTCTTTAGGGGAAGAGAGGTAATAACCTACTGAGAATCCAGTAAAAGCTACACATTTTCTTGGCGAGGAGTTGTGAGGAACTGCTGCTTATTGAACATTTCACATTCAGTTTCAGGGAATTCATCAGGCCCCCCTCTCTGGACAATCCAGACTCCAGGATTAGGCTGATGGCTTGGGTTTACTTGCTCTGGGTACGGTGTGGGGAAGGAGAAGTCTGGATGTTTAAAAAAAAAAACAAACTGGAACCTGTGAGCTCAGGCATAAAAAAAAATCTGCTCTAGAGTATCAAGCTAAAAAGAGCACTGTCAACAGACTTCTCCTTTTGTGGGCTTACTCCCCATCCGTAAGAGAGAGGGCTGATGACTTGGGTTCTCCTCCCACCTGGGACATCCCAGTAACAAGGCAAGACTTGGAAGGGGGTAGGAACTATATATGGCTCCCACTGTGGTCCGGCCTCTGTACAGTCTGCATGGTTATTTGCTGGACTGGGGGGGGGGGGTCCATGTTTTCAGTGAGACTGAAACAGCCTTCCACCCCTAGCCTTGGATTGGGTTCACCGGCCCTGGTGTCCAGGCCTGGAATGAGCAGTTTTAGTTACTCAGGAAGGCCTGCAGGACTGCAGAGGAGCAGACATCTGACTAGGAGAACAGTGGAGACTGAGGAGGACATAAAGAAGAAAAAGCCAATGGAAAGCCAAATTAATAGGTGAAAGAAATAAGAGAAAAGGAAAGAGAGGAGAAAAGAGAAAGGAGAAGACACGGGAAGAGGAAGGAAGTCCAGTTCAAGAAAACAGAGGAAGAAAGAGACCAAAAAAGAACAAAATGGACCAAAAAAAAAAAAAAAATGGGGAGGTGCACTTGAGTGCAGGGAGCCAAAAACAGAAACCCAGTGAGAAGAAGGGGGACGGAGGAGAGCGGCAAGAGGCAGTACTCCTGGGGGCAGTACTCACATGCCCAAATGGGTCCAGGTGGTTGTTGGTGAGCTTGAGTTTCTGGAAGGAGACAAGCTGCCGCATCCAGTGTGCCCCGGTGGCTGGGGAGTCCGGGTGCACGTACAGGCGACCAGGCATGGCAGGCTCCGCTTTGCCGGTCACAGACCTAGACCAAGGAGAGGTGTGACCAGAGTTTCAGCACCTTCAGCGTCGCCCAGAGGTAGCACACTGAGGCAAGATCAATCGGTACATGCACCCACTGCAGGTTGCTGAGTCTGGAAATGGCCTGACCCTCCTCCAGTCTTCCTTAGGCAACTGCAATCCCAGCTACCCCAGAGTCCCTGGTGCCAGGGTCCAGGCAACCAACCTCTCAGCCCCATTTCTTTCTTCTTACACCTATTCCTCCCCCAGGGCCACAGCTGCCTGGGGCCTTGTAGCCTCTTATGCTGCCCACAAACAATAAATAGGCAGGTTTCTAAAGTTCAAGATATACAGTAAGTCTTGAAAACTCCTTGAGGACTTCCAAAAGGAGGTTTCCTTGTCAGACTTCTGCACTGTTGGCAGCGTGGGAGCAATCACCCAAGGAATGGGCCTCTCCTGTCCTGCTCGTTTAACTCAAATATCACGGGCGGACTTTGCAATTTCATAAAAGGCGTGTTCAAAGCAGGTTACTCATAAAACATAACTGTAAATGGTTTTATGCCCCCAGAAATACCTCAAGCATTTGGTAACAATACCCCTTTTAAAAATCCACAACCCATGGAGTGTAGCAATAGATACAGGCACCTCATTTCCTTAGAGCCTTAATTTTCTCATCTATAAAATGGGGGCAATGGCAGGAAGCAATGGAAAAGGCACACAGAAGCCTCTGGCACACAGTAAGAGCTCAAAAAAAATGTTTATTGGTTCCATTGGAAGGTGGGGGGTTCCATTTTCCTCCCTCCCCTTTCCATCTGCCACTCCAGCGCCTACCATTTATTATCTGCAAACTTGTATCTATGGTCATCAGCGGGAACAATGTCCATGAGGAGAATGTACTTCGTTTTGGGATTAAGGCCAGTCACCTTCACCTTGTAACTGGGAAACATCCTCCTAGGAGAGAGGGACAGAAGAAGAGAGGGAGACAGGAATCAATGCCAATGTTTTGAAAAGGGTCCACAAATCTTAATGCAAGAAACGAAACGGTTCTTCCAGAAACATGGAAAAGAAAATTGGCCCCGCTCCGCTCTCACCAAGATCCATCCCGGGTTTCCCGTGAAGTTGTGAGGAGGAGAAAGGCTCAAGGAGGAGAGAGAGAGCGCGGCAGGCGGGCAAATGGAGATATTGGAGGAAAATAGAAACAGGAGGCCTTTGCTTCTGGAGACCTGTTTTCAAAGAAGCCTGAAAGGGACCCCCATTTCAATTCTTGCTAAGTGCTCTTTTCAGAGCCAGACACCTACTATTTGGAGGGAGCGGAAGCTTACTAGGTACCAAGCTATCCGCCTTCTTGGTGCAATCAGGTGCTTCCGCCTGTCCCACCGCAGGGCGGCTGGACAAGTGTACACCAAGGTGTGTGCCCTAGGGATGCACACGCTTCGCGTCCTGGCTCTGGTCCTCTGCCCAGAGATGAGGGAAAGCTCTGGTTCCCAGTATAATCAGATGGGTGACACAGGTCTCTCCAAGGGGTTTATTCCTAAATGCCATACGATTTCTCCAAGAAGCCTGGCATTCTTCCTTTGAGGAGCTAAAATCATTGGCTTTCAGCAAAGAAATTCCAAATCCATCCGGATTTGATTTCAGAAAAAGTTGAGACCCGAACTAGCGGTCGTTAGAAAGCTGATGGCACAGAAGGGAACTGCGCCACAGACCGGGCTACCTCTCCGCATCCTGGCGCGAACTCCAAATTCCTATTCCGTTCTTGAAAAGTAAGCTCCAGAAAGCAAAGATTCTCAAGGTTGGCCTGAGAGGGAAGGACGCATTGCTGGATCTTGGCTGGCTCGGTGATGGCCGAAACGGGTGTACAGAGGCCTCGTTCAAGCCAGCTGAAGCCCTGTAGTGTTTATCTGCCTGAGCGAGCGCGCCTGGAGGTGGAGGCGCAGGAGACTCCGCAGGCCTTTTATAGTTAAATCCTCTCAGCTCAGGCTGGGGGAAGAAAGGAGCCTGGCTGTGTCTTTCCTTCCTGGGGGACTCAGAAGAGGACCGCAGTTCCTTGGTATAAACAGAATGAGCCTCCTCGTTCACTCAAGCCGTGGGCCGAGCAGGGAGCAGACATTGTTTAATTTTAAATAATAATAAATGTCACGGTTGTCAGTTTATTGAGGGAGTCTTCAGCTGGAGAACCAGGGGGTGTCTGGAAAGGCAGCTCCACTCTCCCCCTTCACACAATCGGTGGCTTGGGCCTACTGGCCGCTGGCTTCACACTATGCCTGCTCTGGGCAGACCTGGGCTTTGCACCCTTCAAGCCAATCCAGCACCCAACACCGCAGAGTTGTGGCGAGGTCTGGGCGCTTGTGCACACACCGACACACAGCTCTGCTCCACTCTCTCACCACCTCCCTCAGAATTCTAGCATTTCTAGCTAAAACTCCCCGCAATGGAGCTTTTAAGATGAACTCCAGGGCGAGTGTCTTGGCCAAGCTGCCGTGTTTATCGGTGTCTGTATATAGAGCCCCGCCGAGCCCCGGTTAAGTTTCAAAGGCTTCGCTTGCTTTCTATAAACACTGAAAGAGGTAGCAAAATGCGTTCAGCAATTCAGAGTTTGGCTATTGGGTGGGACCCTGGAACCACTCCAAGGTCAGAGAGGTTGGGGATGGGGGTGGGGAACAAGGTATCCAGTCCAAGACCTATGAAACCCAAAGCCCTTCTCAGGTCTGTTCTCTCTGCCTTTCTCTTCTCTCTTTCTCTCATTACTAATCCATGCAGATAGCATGGCCTCCCAGGCTCTTTAGTCTTTTTATATACGAGGTGGAAGAAATGCCCAGTTTCCGGAGTTGAACATTTGGAGTATTTCCCCTACTCTGCTGGAGATCAATGGGAGAATTTTCCTTGTACCTCTTTAAAGAAAATCAGGCCAAACAAAACATATTCCTCTCTCTTTCTCTTTCTCTTTTATTCTCTTCTCTTCTTTCTCTCTGTTCTTCCCCCTTTCCCCATGTCCCTTCTCTCTGTGCTCCAAAGCCATTTTTCTTCTTCGTGTTTCCCAGAGTTTCCCTGAGCTCCTTCTACACAACTCCTCGCCTCACCTTCCAGCCTTGGTTATGATCATCTCCGTGCCCACTTCATGGAATTTCAGCCACAGTTCTCTTTCATGGAGAAACACCTTGATTCCTTCCATGCCCTGCAGTAAGGAGACAAAAGTCACACCGAGCTCTGGCAGCAGAGGTTATTCTTTCACTAAATGCCTGTAAAACACAGAGAAGCCTGCTGGCTCTTCATGCCTGAATTCTGTGGGCTCAGGGTGGGAAAAGTGCCCCGGCCCATTGCAGAGCTCTCTGGGATCCGGAGCACCCGACAGCCTCTGCAAGGAATCCCTCTGTAGATGCAGTTCCAGAGGAGGTTTCTAGCAACCACTTGATCCCACAGTGGTGCGGTGTCTCCTAATGCCACCAACCACCAATGCAAGGCTACAGGAGAATCACCAGTTTTCAGAGTGCTACAGAATGTCAGTAGTAAAGGACCATGCTGAGGAAACATAGGGCCAATTTCAATCCACTTTAACCAAAATATAGTTGGAAAGGAAAATGCGATTCACTCTAGAAAACCCCACTCAAGATACTCTTATGTGGACACCTGGATACTCACACACAAAACATACAAATGTGGAAATATGTATATGCTGGCTTATTCTCGATCATGGTGGCTTCAAATATGAACATACATGAAATTTTAAACTTAAAAATGTTTATATGATCATATGTTCTCATAGTCCAGAACAAAAATGAAGTAATTCTCAATGTCTATATTAATAAACTTTCCTGACTCTCCCTACACTTAGCTCTGTTACCTTTGAGTTATTTTGACCACGGGGCAAGGCAGAAGCCATTTAACACTTCTTTCTGCTTTCTACTAAAAGTTATTTCACGAAACCGATGCAAATATAAATATATACACCAAGTCTTCGTTTTGAAATAATTTGCAACCATCTAGAAAGTGGCTTTGCTTTTTCTTAAAAGAAAAAGAAAGATTTCTGTAAGTTACCCAAACTTAAGCTCTCTGCCTCTGCACAAATATCCACACATTTTCTGGAAACAGGAAGGCAAAGGAGAGAAGCTACGAAAAAGTCAAGAAGGACGTTGAAATCCCAAGGAAAGGTCTTTGTTAAATTCAAGGATCTCTTCGGGTCAAGTCACCCGGCTCTGAGCCATGTGTCACCCTATTTAAAAATGATCCGAGTCAACAAGGGCCTCCTGGAGCACCCAATGTGCCCGCTGCGTTTAGGTCTCAGAGCGCAAGGCGAGGCTCCTCCCTCTGCTCAGGCACAGCTGGTAGCCAGGCGAGCCCGGGCCCCTCGTGCCCTCTCCGAACAGCCCTGTGCGCTCCCAGCGGCCGGTGAGGGCGGGCGCGCCAGCCCTCCAGGCCTCAACCGACCGCAAGACAAATGGTGCGGCGCGCGGGTCCAGGCGGCGGCGCGGAGGAGGCAGGCGGAGGCGAAGGCTAGGAAAGATCTGAAGAGGGGTCAAGCCATCGCTCATGCCCGCCTGAAGCGGCCGCTGACCCGACCCTTATTAAGACGCTTGGGGCCGATTCTACAACTAGTGCCGCAGGAAAGGAATTATTTGAGCATTAGTTGACCCCGAACAGCCAGATAATTGAGCTTTCTCCCACCATTTAAATAAATTTCAAAAATCCTCTGGCCATAAAGATAATCATCAAAATAAAGTGGATGAGATTATAGTGGTACCGGGGGAAACAGGTCAGAAAAAAGTAGAATTGAGTGAAAATAAAACGGAAAGGAGATAATAATGGGCAGTGGGAGTAGGCTTTTTTCCCCTTGATCCCCCTCGTATGTGTCCCCAGCTCTTCTTACCTGCTGGGTGAAGGCAGCCTGCGGAGACGACGGGGACTTGCTGGGGACCCCTAGTGCGCTCTCTGGTTTTGAATCACAGGGCAGGTCTTTTGAGTCAGGCTCCAGAGGCGTGTGCGCCAGGCCAAAGCCCTCGTCCGCGTCGGCCATGGTGCACCAGGCGCCCTGTGCCCAGGCGAGGTTCTGCTCTGAAGAGAAGCAGGGAGAGACGGAGAGCGAGAGAGAGGTTGGAGAGCTCAGTTCTAACAAGAGGGAGCTGTTTGGCCCCCAATTTCCAGCTGCCAGCACCTCCGTTCCCAAATGAAGGAGGCTGCTGAAGGTTCTATTATTATTGTCATTACTGTTACTTTATGACCACGGCAACCTCTTGCAAAAGACCCGCGTCAGACCCTGAGGAGGCGAAGCCCGCATCTCCTCTGTTCAGGCTCTCTGTGATAAGCAAGCTGCCAGTCAAATTTGTCTGGACTTCTGGAAGAGCCAATAAAGATAAGGCGTTGGTATTTTTGGAAGTCATTGGGTAGAAACCAAAAACAAAACAAAACAAAAACCTAGTGTCCTTTGGAGAATTTTTTTTTTTCTTGGTCAAATTACAGAGGACTCTTAGAGTGTCTTTTCTTAAACCTGACTAGAGGAATAGTTTTCTGCAGCAGGCCCATGTCTGAAATAACCCGCCTCTTGCAAAATCAAAAACATAGTTCGGGGGAAAATGTGCAGATTGAGACACTAGGTTCAAAAGAGAATTCGTGTATATCTTTTATCAATTACAGGCCTTAAAATTAAAAGTCCTTTAAAATTAAAAGTCCTTTCCTTTCCTCCAACCTTAAACACGATTTTTTACAAAATAAAAATAGCTGAACAGAAGACTCAATGAGGAAAGCAGCCATGCAATGTCTTCAGGGAGGTTTGAGACTGGGTGCCCCCCACCCCACAAATACTCTGCAGCTAGCTGGGGTGACAGGCATTTTGTCTAGCGACCAGGCCGAAGGGAGCTTCTCCGAGCTTCAGTCAGGCCTGATTCGCTGAAACTGAAGGCCCAGGCTGGGGCTTGGAGAGGACAAAACCAGGCTCAGACAAAACCTCGGCTACAGGCACTGAATCTACCACCTGGGTGCCCCGCAACGCTCGGAACCACCCAGGTTCTCGCAGGGTGTGAGGTAGTAACATGCAAACAGCTGCAGAATGATTCAAGGCAGGTCAAGGGAGCCTGTCTCCTGCTCTCTGATCCCCTTCCAATGTCCTCTCTGTTTTCAAACAGGAACCCCCAAAAATTAATTCAGAAGGATTTAAGAAACGAGCGCAAGCTGTGATCCCCAAAATTTGCCTATTAAGCAAAAGTCTGGATCCCACTCTGGTCTGCAGTGACTGGAGATCTAGAAACGAAGCCGAAAGAAGGACAGCTTCTGAGGCCCGACTCCTAAGCAGCATTCTTCACGTCGCCCTTGGGGTTTCGGGGAGGCAGTGATGTGAGCCCCGCAGCCTATTCACAACAAAAGAAAGCAGGGCTGGCGCCCCCATATGCTCCCATTCACCGCCGGCCACCGGGAGAAGCTCATCCGGCTCCCTTGCCTGCGTCCTGGGGAGCTCCGGGCTGGCGGAGGCGAACAAGATGAGGTTTGACAGAACCAGGCCGTGCGTCCTGAAACCTCAGAGCTGCTTCCCCAGCCGGGGCCGCCTCCCGAACTCCACTTGCTGAGGAGCTCCGGGCCGCACAAATTCTCTGCAAGACGGCTCTGCAGAGCGCAAGGCACGGCTGGGGTCCGCCATTCGCACCGCCCTCGGCCGACTCGGCCAGCCGGTCCCTCCCGAGCCTCCCGGGCCGTGCGCGGGGCCGGTTACCTCGCTCGGTGAAGCCGGTGCATTCACCACATCCCCCGTTGCTCCTAGCAGGGAAGCTGGCGGCGAGGCGGCGGTGCAGGCATGGTGGCTTCGGGTTTAGGCGGGGGACTGCTTGCCCAGACTAGCGGCTACTGCTGCCTACAGGGGCGCACCCACCGCTGGAGCCTCGGCTGCGACTGCCCACCTCCAACACACACCTCCTCCGCTTTGCGCTCGCTCTTCCTAAATATTTCCAAGTTGGCAAGCACCAGAAGGGCTCCAAAGAACAAAAAACAGCAGAGTGCACCGCCACCATATAATCTCAGTGTCCCGTTCCTCCCTAGCACCCCCAGGGAGGGTAAAATTGGAATACAAGAGGAGCCCTGTGAATGGTCGAAGTCCTTTCTGAGCGTTGCTTTCGGGTTACACTTCCTGAATTTGAGGTAAGAGTCTCAGCCTCTCTCTCTCTCTCTTTCTCTCTCTCTCTCTCCCTCTCTCTGAAATACAAGCCAACTCTGCTGAGCACAGTGACGTTAGGTTGCCTTGATGCTCACAAAGTACTGAAATCGCCTATCCAGTTAGCTCTGACTGCACTCTGCACACCTCTCTCTCTCCCCTTTTCTCCCTTCCCCCCACCTTTTCCAATAGATTTCCTAAACACTCAAATCCCTACAGTGACTCTCCAACTCAGAAACCAAGACCTGTGATCACCCTCCTCTCCACCTCGCTTCCAACCTCCATCCATCTCTGCTTCTCTGAGCAAGCGATGGCTGCAAAAACTCCAGTACAAATTGGTACAAATCATGGTAAACATGCTGGGTACTTGTGCCCATAACCTAATCTCCGTGACTCAGGCAGGGCAGTGCGGAGAACCAAGCCTGAATGCACTAGGTGAGCACACACACCCAGGGCCCCTACAGCCTCTGAGCCTCCTGCATTCTCCCTCCAATGCTGACCTCCAGCCAGAGCGCTTCCTGACCCCGCCTGGCCGGCGCTCGCTGCCCTGACATCTCCCCTCGTCCCCCACTCATCGCCCCCACTCTCCCATTCTCAAGGACTCTAGGATGAAGGCAGGATGAAGGTGGGTCAGGATGAGGGCTGAGATCAAAGTTGCCAAGAAATCTCTGTGGGCCCCCAGCCCCCACCCACTCGAGCCACCAGACCTCCCTTGCTCCAGGTGTACACAAGGCAGTGCCCAGTTTATTAAAATAATCAAACAGTCATTGGAGACTGGCGAGAGTTTTCTCCACTTGCTCCTTTCCCTGCCCTTCCCCTCTCTGAAATGTATTATTTTGAGGGTGGGTTGAAGAGGTCAATAAAAGCATAAACACAGTCAGCAGGTCTCAGTTTGAGTAGACCCAGATTGGGATATCAAGGTATTGGTGCTTAGAATCAATGTCAGGAGTCCTCTTCTGTTTCCCAGTTCGCCTCCTGTATCCCTTCACCCTGATCTTTTTTTGGGCTGTGATTAGAGACTTGGGCCTGAAAACCAAGGTCTGGAGAGATGAATGAAGGGAGGAGAAATGTCCCAGAGACCAGCAGTGGATATAACCCTGTACAGCTGCTCAGCTAAAATCCCAGGCCAGGCCATCTGCAATATGCCAAAGTGGATTGTCCAACCATAAACATGAAGCAACCAGGGAGAATACCAAACCTCCTACAGTTCTCACTCCACCTTCCAGGTTTGTTTTCAGACAGACCTTTGCCAAGTCAATTTATTTATTTGTAAAAACGCCCTCACCCTCCAAGTCAGCTCAGAAAGACTTTGGGTTTGCTAACAAGGCCACCCTAGGTCGAAGACAAAAAAAAAACAAATATGGCATCAGGATAGGCTTGAATCTCTATCTCTCTGGTAGAAGGAAGGGGAAATCCAGAAAGACCTCTCCAATCCCTTTAAATTCTCTGAGATTTGTGGATAAAATTAATTCCCATAAATAACCTGCAGAACCCTCCAGAGAGAGACGATCTGGACTCCTCCAAGTAACAGCCCAGCCAAATTTACTTAGTTCAGGGGGCTGAGATGGTTGAAGGACAACCATAGATCGGGATTTTTAAACCTTTGAGGAGAATCCATTTCTGCCAGGTGACTCACAAAGGCATTCTTACTTTGCTTAAAAAGTAGACACACCAGGGTGGGGAGTCAGCAGGACCAAGCTAGGGTGGGAAGCAAAGGAGTGGTGGGCAGGGAAAGTGGAAAGAGAAACTTATCCGCCCCCCCCCTTAGTTCTCCAGAGCACTCACCTCCAAAAATCCCACCTCTTCTTTGCAGTGTAGAAGCCAGGAGTGCTCCTGGCTGGGGAGGAGGGTTCAGGTGAAGACTTTGAAAAGAAGCCCCCAAAAGAGACCCCTGTAGGCCAGGCTTTCTTTCAGCCTCTGTCAAGACAGCGCCTCCCAGCTCGAAGTTGGTTTGTGGTCTCCGTCAAATTAAATATTACTGTTTATTACCAGGCATACCCCAATAAAATAAAGAGGCAACCAGGCGATACCGACTGTCTCACCAGCCGCTGCACCTATAGGACTTGGAGACGTCACGAGTCACGCAACCCGGCCGCACGCTGTCACGCTTGACTGGGGGGCAGCGGCAGGAGGTTAATTTCTCTACGTCTTCGTCTATCAGTCCCGGGTCTGAGCAGCCTCAAGTCTGGGACGCCTCGGCCCAGGAAATAAATAAAGAGATAAACAAACCCAGGACTCTCGGGGGGAATGGGGGTGGAGAACTTAAGACACAAATAAAGCCAAGATCGATTTTCTTAGGGAGGGGGAAAGGAGGGAGCAGCAGCTCGCCGCAGTCCACCCCAGACCCCGATTAGAAGGAAACCAAGTTGTTCTGGGGGAAATGAGATCTCTTGCAGGAGCCATGGGATTCTTATTATTTTAAAATTATCCCCCCGCCCAGGAGTAGGTCTTAGCAGATGAATATCGAGGCTCCACGTTAGCTGGTTTTGTATGGGACGGAATAACTCAGTGCTCGTTCTCAGACCTGCACAGAAATAATTACTGGGCCATCGTGAAGGCGAAACAAGACACGACATTCAGAGGGAGAGAGTTGTTCTCAGTGTTTCTTGCTGAGAGAAAGACCATTCTGCGATCGATCCCGAAGCTAAGTCCGGGAATGCAATTCATCCCAGAGTGGCCTGGCGGGGGGGCGGCGGGGTGCTAGTGGGTGGTGGAGTGGGGGTGGGGGTGGAAAAGGCTGATTTCTTCAGAGAAAAATTACAGCACGGCGGCCCGCAGAGAGAGACGAGGTACTTGGTTTTGCTTCCTAATAACGACAACTATTATTTTCAATCTCATCAATGGGCATAATTTCTAAGCAACCTTTGGCGCGCAGCTGGGAACCCAGTAGATTCAATTGCAAAACATACGGCATAGACGCCCCTGGCGGCGCCAAGAGAAGAGCTAGGCCTGCCCAGCGCACAGGCAGAGAGCACCCGGCCTTCGGGAAGGGTAAGTTCCTCGGCAAGGGGTCCAGGGGGAGCTGGACATCCGAATCTGGACTTGCCCCCTGCTTCGGGGTTCGATCCAGAGTTTCTCGCGCCCCCAGCCCCCAGGGCTTTCCGAAGCATGGCCTGGCTCCAGGCCTGGACTGGAGCGGCAGCGCAATGCGCAGGGACGCAGTCAGCCGAGCAGCTGTAGGAGCCAAGGTCAGGCCCGCGGGGAGAGCGCGGCCAATGGCTCTCAACGCCGGCCGTGGGCGCCAGGGCCAGACCGGCTGCTGACCCCGCTGTTTCCAGAGCGCAGACCCCGCGTCCTTCCTCTCCGCCAGGCCGCAGTGGCTTCCCCGAGCTTCGCTTTCGTTTCCCAGGTTATTAATAACTATCTCCCCCCCTTAAAAGTGAGGCTCAAGTTCGTTGTAGCGTTTGTCCCCGGATGTCAAGGACTCAATCCCAAATCTTTCGCACAAACCCGGGTTTGAAGAGATGGGTTTCTGGATGACCTCTGGGCTGACGTGGGCCGGAAAACAGAGGCCTGAGCCTGACCGCCCCGCCGGGGCTTGAAAGAAAAGACAAAACTCCCAGCGCAGCCAGTTTGTTTCCATTTGGCTCCTTCTCTCAAATCCCGGCCCCAGCCCCTCGACCACCTGGACCAGCTCACAAAGGGTTTTGCAAACCCAGATTCTGCAGACGTTCCCGAGCCCGCACCACTCACGAATAAGCTAAAGACCTCCCCTCGATTTCACAGTCCCCATTCTTTCCCCTAATAATTCGGGCAGTAACCCCCAGAGCTGGCTACAACTCGCACCACCGCAGTCCTTTCTGAGAACTGCCGCTTTCCCCGACTGGCTCCCAGTTCGGTTTTCTCTCAAGTGTATTTTTCTCGTTTTGCAAAATTCCTGCTCTAATTTTATTACCGCACGAGAGGAGGGAGTAGAGATTCCTATTTTTAAAAGTCAAAACCAAATTAAAAGAGAGATTGCTGTTGATCTTTTTTATTCTTCACTTTCTCCTTCCGTTTTCTAAAAGTCACATCCCAGACTACCTTACTCCCTCCCCCCTCCAAAAGAGAACTCGCTTAAGAATACACCTGTTTCTCTTTCGTTGTGTTCCCACTTGACCCGGGTGCTAAATGGGGGTGGGGGGGAAGAGTAGAGAGAAGTGTGGAAGGGTGGCTGTAAGAATTATAATGACAATAGTAATGATGACAAAACTAAACTTTGACCAACTCAGTTTCAAAAAAAAAAAAAGGGGGTCAATATGAGGCTGAGAAAATTCTCTCCTTCCTCAGGGGGTCACTTTCCCTCTCATCTAGTTAAATCTGGCTCGATTATATTTTTTCCAGGGACACAGAATCTCTCTTTCCAATATTTTATTTAGCTCCCAGTCCCCCCTCCTTTTTGATGAAAGTATGTGAGATAATTACTGGGTGTTATTATTATCATTGTTGACGATCCCAAATCCTACTCCAATATTTCCACCAAGAATTATTATCACGTTTATCCTTATTCATGTCAGTGTTGTTTCACGTGTGGGAATTGTTCCTCCCACACTCCCCAAGTTTGGTAAATCAGAATTTTTTTTTTTTTCTGTTCAGGGTAATGAAATAAGAAATGGAAGGAGAAGCATTCTAGAGACCCAGCTGAGAGGATGCCAAAGCTAAAGATTTGCACAGTCTAGAAAGCTGGAAGAGAGTGGCAGTACCATACACCAAAGCAACTGCTCTTCCCGCCTGCAATTTTGGAAGACTCTGCGTAGAACAGTTAGGGTCCTAGCTGGGAGAACCTGAAGCCTCTGTGAGCCACACTGTGCCTGAGAATTGCCACCAAGTCAGTGGCTCTGATAGGCACTGATAGGCCTCCCCATGTAGTCCCTAAGTCTACACCATCAGTGTTCCCCCAAAATATTGACTAAAAATATATCCAATTCCAGGGCTCTAAGCCGGTAAGATAGAGACTTAGACTAATACTTTTAAATCTGGGGTGCAGGTGAGGGACTTGTCTGGATAAACTCTCTCTCAACCAAAGGGTGCATTGGAAACTTGGGAGCTGCCGCTTTCCAAGTCTCTGGAAAGACAAATTTTCTTTGGCAAACAGAACGGTGTCGCACTGTCGACAGGGCAGACTATTTTTCTTGTTCCCTCCTGGGGGGTGGGGGGGAGAAAAGAAAGCAAGAAAGAAAGGGAAATTAAATCCACACGTGTTAAGCGCGCTCAAAGGGCCAGATTCAAAACCAGAGACTAAAACTGTGACTCCAGTTCTGGCTGCCCGCGGGCCTCTTTCCAGCCAGTCCAGCCTTGCAGAGCAAGGCATCCCCACCGGAGAGAATTCGATTCCATGTTTTATAAAGCCTTTTATTTAACGTGCAGGGGCATAGGTCTCTTTCAGAGTCTATGCTATGGAGATTTAAAACTCATAGTTGCAACAAAACCCAAGAAGATAGCAATTATGATAATAACTGCCTCCTCTGTGAAAACTCAGCTTGAGATCTTCTGAATCTATCCTAATGATTAGGGCGACATTCAGAAGGCTATGGTCAGACTGATTTGACCATAGTCAGGCCATTGGTTTTGGAAATTCCGAAGTCTGGTTAGGCTTTCAGACTTGGGCCTGCCTGGGTCCAAAGAACCTAAAACACTGTTTTTATTGATGCTGGAATTGCCAGCCTAATCTGCGGGGCTAACATGTTCATCCTTCACACCTCTCTTTTGGGGAGTTATTTTCCTGAAAGAAAGCTACAGGCCGGCTTCCAGAGGTGTTCGGGCTGCATGGGAGGGGTCAGAGGAGGCCACCCCACCTGGAGCTGTGAGTGAAAACTCTGGTAATGACCTGGAGGAGGTGAAGGGTGGTGGGTGGGGGTGCGGGTGATGAGGGCAAACAAACCCCAAACTGGAAAGATCTGTCACCGAAAGGATTGCATGGTCGAGACCTCTAATTTTTCTTCCCCTTCATCTAGACTCCTCCAGCCCCTTGGTGCTGGATTTCTGGCCTTTGAGGCAGAGGGACAGAAGAGTTTTGAATCCTGGACCCCAGTGCCTCACTGCCCCACCCAAATCACATTGAAAAAACAAAAAACTGCTGGATGAAACAAGTGACAGAGAGTTAGTGGTAGAAAAATTCTTGGCGATTGTTTCCAAAAGCCTAGAATTTCCTGCACCAGTCAAGGTTCTCAACAATGGGGCACCGGCCTGAAGACCATCTCAAATTTTGCTGCATGTTCCGAGGCCTGGAAAGCACGTGAACGTTTTAAAATAATAACTAAGAAAATGACATGAAGGCTATGGTAACCAGTTTCATGGAAGTGTTTCGGATTGTGTGTGAAAACCCCACACTGTACCCCAGAAGTGCATTAATGTACATAGTTACCATTCCATTAAAAAAAAAAAAGAAAGAAAGAAAGAAAGCACTTCCGCCAGACACTCCTGCCCTTCCGTAAGCCTTCTCAGAGAGTTTAACAGAGCAGGGATTTTAAAACATCCCCTCTTTATACACAGGAAGAAAACTGAGGTTTAGTATCAGATAGGTGCTGGTCTCAAGCTGCCTTTTGGAGTCCAGAAGGATGATCTTGGAGATGTGTGTGCCAGCAAGGGGACACCTGAATTGCAGCCTGCAAGCTGCAGCCTCTGCAGGGGAACATCTCAGCCTAGATGTGGCAAGTCTGTTCAAATCCACTCCCCACTCCATCTGTGTAGGAGGCTCCCTTCATCATCCAAGCAATCTTTAGCTTGCCTGGACTAAGTTCTTGTAAAAGGAAAGAGGAAAGTTGGGCGCTAGAACTTGTGACATTGATGTCTGCAAGGGCTTACTGAGGGAAAGAATAAATGCATACTTCCTCTTCTTTTAGATGCAAATTGTTCAATTGTAGATACAATAGAAGTAACATTAAACTAGTATTTTTTGTAGCAGTGCTTTCTTTTTACTCTACAGGGGTAGAAAAAGTGCCCGGTTTTCTTTTGGCATTTGAACAGGAAGCTGACAATACAGACCGATTTTTTTTTTTCATACAGTTTATCCAATTCGGAGACAGCATGCTCTGAGAAAGCACCAGGGCACTGCTCAGCTTGGCAGACCAAGAGGGTGAGGACAGAGGGCAATTGAGAGAAGGCGTCCTTGTCCTTGGTGAGGGCAGAGGCTTGTGGCCACAGGTTGGAAGCAACTTCCCTTCTAGGTCCCCCCTGCTTTGTTCCACTCTGCAGCCAACCCCAACCATACTCATCTCAGAACTGATCAGAGAAGACAAAACTTAGCTTCTCTTTGCTCACTTCCCATGGGGCATATAATGTGCCCCAAAGCTCCTGGCCAGTTCTGTGGTGCCCTCCTCCATTCCTCTGCCTTTGGAGAGCCTGAAAGCAGCCTGCCGAGGTCCCCTTCCCTAACCCAAGCCCCCATCTTCTTTCCCGTACGTTTTTTGCACTAACACTTTCAGA